AAAGAAAGTATTCTTGTGTTGAGGGAGTACTTGAGCAAATGACTTCTTTTACATGAAAAATTTGTTTTCATAAGTTCTGATTAAAAGCCAGTTCAGAGAATAAGTGATAGTAGAAAAATAGTGTTTAAACAGTTTTCACCGGAAACATTGTTCTTTAGTGAACTCTGGCTTTTGTAAGGAGCCCAGGTTTAGAAGTAGTCAGGGGTTGGGTTGCTGACCACAGAGTAAGCGGTTTGAAACCACCAGCCCCTCTCAAGGGAGAGTGACAGCGCTTTCTTCTCCGTTAAAGAGTTGCTGTCCACTGCCTCGAGTTGGCCCTGACCTATGGCAGTCCTGTGCACAGCAGAACGGAGCACTCCTGGTCCTGTGCCCTCCTCGCAGTTGTTCCTGTGCCGGAGCCTACTGTCTCCGAAACCCACGGGGCTGCTCTAGCCTGTTTTATAGGGTTGCCGTGAGTCAGAATTGGCAGTGTGGCAAAATTTTGTTTGATTTTTTTTTTTAATGAAATTACCTTTGTGTTCAGATTTATTTATTTACTTATGTACTACTTTGTTTCTAAGAAAGCATTTGAAGCAGTGAAATGCTTTAGTAAATTTGTCACAGGAGAAATGAAAAAAGACATAAATGAAATCCTTTTAACTAAAAGCTTTTGGTATCATGAATCTAAGATAATACCAAATGTAAAAAGATATGTACTTGAAATTGCACTTGAAATCAGCCCAAGTATAAAAAGGAAAAATATTGTAACCTTGATAGGAATTTATTTGGAAAAAGATGTGGAGATCACAATATTAATCAACATTTTTTATGCTTATCAAAAGGTATACTATTTTATGCTAAAAGAATATAGCATTAAAAGAAGTAAACTGTCATGAAAATAAGAGATAAAAGACCTTTTTTTTTTCAAGACACCAATGTTTTATTCAGAATATTCAGAGTCATACTAAGATACTCCTGTAAAGTAAGACAAATTGCTATATCTTTACCCAAAACAAAGAATCCTCTAAATTTTAGAAGTAACATTTTTCACACCTAAAAATACATCATATACTAGGTAACAAAAAATGGCTCTCAACCGTGAATAGGGGATGGAGAAGGATTGAGCTCTGTAGAAACCCAGGAAACAAAGAAGTCCTGCATGAGCAATATGCTCCACTAGGCCCTACGTGTGAGGAACAAACAAACAAATGTGGAAACAGAAGCAATAAGGAGCGGTAGCACGAGGGAGAATCATTCCGTAGGCTGATAGGGCTCTGGGACAAAGCCACCTACAGTGGAGAATGGTACTTCAGTATCTTTTGAAATATAACTTCTGATATGCTCCTGGGACTTAGAAAACAGAGATGTGTTATGCATTGAATTGTGTCTTCATACCTGTATTATTAAAATGACCTTGTTTGAAATAGAGTTTTTCTTTGAAGATGTTAAGGTCATACCAGAGGATGGTGTCTACTAATCTCCCCCTACCTTTTAAAATTAATTATTTTATAGGAGACTCTTACAAATCTTATGACAATCCATCATTTAATTGTATTAAGTACACTTGTTCTTATGTTGCCATCAACATTAAAAGAACTTCTTGATCTTCTTTTCTCTTTAGCTGACAGGTTGTATTTCGGGTTTAGTTTTAGTTCTGAGTAAAAGTGGATTTTTACCAGTATTTTTAAAAGAGTTTGTGTCTTCTAAGGCATAGTTGAGGTATCAAGAATTTTCAAACATGTTTATGGTTACCACTTTGTTTAGGAGTTAGGGCCTTTCTTTTGTGTCAAAATACAAAACTAGTGTCACTACATAGCAAAGTTTTCTAAATGTGTGAAGAGAAATTTCTAATATATTTAACTACAAAGAAATGTAGATATCTATTAGATTTTATTATTAATCTTCAAAATAGATGGCATATATCATTCAGTGTAGTTGCATGATTGTGTGGTTCCGTTTGATAATGCATGATATTTAAAGGGTGAAAGACTATTGTAAGTATCATGATAACATGCATCTTGGGAGTGAAGCTTGCCTGTTGGGTGATGCTTTTCAGTTCTCGTGCCCTCTCACGACTTTGTACTTTCTTTTTTCTTTTAAATTTTTCGCATAACATTTAAGAACAGAGATATTCTAGGAAACTAATATTTTTTAAACTCTACTCTGAGGTCCTTTACTTATAGGACTTAAATCTTGACTGGCTGCTTGGATGTCATTGGGTGCATTTATTAGTCTCAGCTTATTGATAGCATTTAAATATTTACGTTGCATGATTATAATGCATACTTACATTATGTATGTACATAATATTTTTTACATTCTTTCAAAGTCCCGCAATGCCGAGAACCTGGAACTTTCAGATGAGCTTCATAATAGAAAAGCTGTCTTACTGATGATGGTAGCTGTGGTTTTACACTGTAGCCCCGTCTGTGAGAAACAAGCCTTGTTTGCTCTCTGCAAATCTGTGAAAGAGAATGGATTAGAGCCTCTCCTCATTAAAAAGGTATATGTGGCTGAATATATATTTTTTATTCTTTGCATTATTATTTAGCCTAATGCTAGATTGGTAAAGTGCTACTTATTTTTAGACTTAGAAACAATTTTGTACTTTAGATAGGGAATATTGGAGAACAGTTGCATCAATTTTCAGTGATACACGTTTCTGTTCTGCAGTGTATCTTTTATTCAGTTTAATAGCAGTGCACTGTGAATGAACACTCACGGGTGGGCACCCTCTCGGAACCCAGGCCAGGCATCGGGAATGGCATTTGTTGAAGGAAGCTAAGGCAGACAAGAGCAGTGGCAGGTGCTCTGCCCAGCGTGTTCTGTGCTAGCACACTGGGATCTAGTAGGGCCAACCTTTTAAGACCGTGGCTAGGGGAAGAGGACTGAGGTCCATGTCTGGCAGTGACATTAGTATAGTGCAGTAGGGTGTTGGCCTTGGCTCTCTTCCTCTATGTCAGCATTTATGGTTTGGGCATTTCCAAGCCTTTCACTTACATATTTATGGAAAAATTCCTTTAAATTTTACTTCCCTTTTTTTCATAAACATTTTGAAGCCTCATTACTGCCTCATTACTATAATTCCTTTGGATTTTTCTTATTTCAATCAAGACTGAACAGAAGAATTTCATTTTAAACATTACTGCATAATGTAATCAACATTGAAAATTGTCGCATCTGTGTATTCATGGTACATTGACTAATTTAAATGCTACTTGCCCTGGACTGTGCTACTGTTGTGTGCTGTCCCTTCTACCTCTCTAGGGACCTTACATGCCTCACAGTTAATCCTAAGCTGGTTATCAGATCATCAGAGCTTTTCTCCCTCAGAGATGGTAGTGGGATAAAAGGAAGGACGTTTCCATTCACAACAAAGTGCTGTACTACTAAGCCACCAGCGCTCTGGGGATTTGTGCTGTCTTAAATATCATTTCTTTCATTTTCAAATATACTTTATTAACCATATTTAACAGATGAGAATATTTATATGTAGAGAATTCAAATCAGTGCATCCAGATCACGCTGTAAATCACATCTATAGGGATTAGAATAATAATTATATTTTTGTAAAGCATCAACTTCTTTCTTATTTGTACAGGTTTTAGAGAAAGTGTCTGAAATTTTTGGCTATAGACACCTGGAAGATTTCATGACTTCTCACTTAGATTATCTAATTTTGGAGTGGCTCAATCAACAAGAAACTGAACGCACCTTATCTTCTTTCCCTTTTATTTTACTAAACTACACATGTGTTGAGGATTTCTACAGGTAGGTGGAATTGTGTGAATTATGTTTAATTTACACTTGGTAATAGTGTTTGACAATACCTTTTATTCCCTCCTCCTCTCCAACTGCCTTATCTTATAAACCCCAGCATATACTGGTGAGAGGAGTCTAGTAATAGAGACAGGACAAGGACAGCCTGATAGAAAGTATAAATACTTGGACTTACAGATTTGAGTCTAACATTCTAGCATTTGTCAAAGGAATTGCACAAGATCTTCAAGATCCTTTTCAACTTTAATGTTGATAATCTCTTCTTTGAAATATCAAAGTAACTTACTAGTAGCTGATTGTTGCTGGTTTCTTGTCTCTTTTGTTGCCTGACTGTAGGCCACTTTGGTAACCTTTGTTTCTATTAGATTATTAGTTTCTATTAGATTAGTTTAATATTTTAAAAAAATTCATTTTGCTGAAAGCAGGGAGTTGTTGGCTCTTGCTCTTGAAAACCCAAGTCAACAGTGTAAAAAAATAAAAATAAAACCCCAAATCATCACAACTGGTGGACCACCAGACAGCATCATGAGAAGTGGAGAAAAGCTTGAAGTTGTAATGGATTCCATTGTGCTTGGCGCCACAATCAGTGCTCGTGGGAACAGCAGCTAAGAAATGAAACAATGTGTTGCATCGGGCACATCAGCTGGGCAAATCCTCTGAAGTCTTGAAGAGCAGGGATATCGTTTTACCGACTGAGGTGCCCCTGGCCAAGCCATTGATTTTCAGTCACTTCATGTGCATGAAAGTTGGAGATGAATAAGGAAGACGGCAAAAGAATGGGTACATGCGAACTTTGATGTTGGCAAAGAGAATTGAACGTGCTAGGGACTGTCAGAACAAACAAATCTGTTTTGGAAGAGGTCAGAATACTTCTTAGAAACGAGGAGGCAAGCCTTCATCTCATGTAGTTTGGACATGTTATCAGGGGAGACCAGTTCCTAGAAAAGGACACCATGCTTGGTAAAGTAGAGGGTCCATGAAAAACAGGACCCTCAAGGAGAGGGATTGACACAGTGGCTGCCATAATGGGCTCAAGCATGATTAATGCATTCCATGCAGGATTGGGTAATGTTAGGTTCTGTTGTACAGAAGGTCGCTGTGATTGGGACCTACTCAATGGCACCTACCAACCAAAACAATTGTAGATAAGAAAAGTTTGAGAATGTAGAGATTTGAATTAACTGAAAAATAATGCTCAGGGTACCGGGAAGATGGGAACTCAAAACTCTGTGCCATCAAGTCATTTCTGACTTGTAGCGACCCCACAGGACAATGTGGATGTGCTCCTGTGAGTTTACAAGACTAACGCGGAAAAAGAGGTTTGAAGTTTCTAACCTTGCAGTTAGCAACCCAGCGCATAACCCAGCGCACCACCAGGGCTCCTTGGGTGATGGGAAGGCAGCTCCCATCTGTTGAGAAGGGCATTTTATCTTGGGCGACCTTCAAGTGTCCATAATGGTACTTTTAAATTTTTATTTTTATACTTATGTAGGGAAATTTCTATTGAAACAAATCAAGTGGTCCTTATCAAATTCATTTGGCCAATAACAATATTTACATTTTTTTCAAATATACAAAGTGTTTTTATATTTCATTTGTTATTAATTTTGAATAAAATGATTATACAGAGGAAGCAAATACAAATGAAATTCAGCCCTTCCTTCGAGCAAAGAATTAGGGTGCTATATTTTATAGTCTGCTTTTTTTTGCTTTTTAGTAAGACTATTAAGACTGGATGGTGGGTGGTGCACAGTTAGCTGCACAGGGCCAAGGCAAGTTTGGGCAGAGACTGCGGTCCAGTCATGGAGCCCAGTGCAGTGGTGGTACTGTAAGAATGATACGAAAGACATTGTTACTGCGCTTCATCGACGCCCAGGAATGTTCTCTTTTTAGACTCCCAGTTTATACCACAGTGCAGCAGAACAGTGTTTCCCAAAGTCAGTGATATCCCTCCCTTCGGGGTGCTGGAATGATGGGGGAGGGAGAGGCTGCAAAAACGGTTACCTACATTTTATCTTGAATTGTGGGCTACAGTCTAAAGCTTTTTAATTGCCAGGAGGGTGCAGAGTCCTTTTTTTTTTTTCCCCTGAAAAGGGGGTGGTAGACCAAATAAGCTGAATTAAAACTCATTTTGAACTGACAGAGAGTACGCCATTGAAAGTGTCAGACAGAGATCTCCTCAAGGAAGTACTTGTCTTGGGGGGAAAAGATCTTTATTTCAAAAACTTGGTGACTTAAATATTGAAAAATGTGAAGAAGAACCCAGGCAGAAGAACTTAACAAGCAATGTGAATTCGTTAGAGAAGTTTATATGCAAGAGACATTGCTGTATCTTGTATACCCACTGCTGGAGAGCCATTTCTGTTGCTCGGGATTCTACAGAACATGTTAGAACTGTGCCACGAGGCTTCTAAGACTAACTAGTTATGGGAGCAGACACTCATTTTCATCCTGTGGAGCAGTGGGTGTTCTTGAACTGTCAGCCTTGGTTAGCAGCCCAGCCCACTGCACCATCAAGGTTCCTTGCCATGTCTAGTAGTCAACCTAAGTCTGGGGGAATGTTCTCTAGTGCTCAGAAGAAAAGATGGTACATTCCGATAGCATTTGACTGCCCGATGAAGAAGGGGACTTGCTTTGATACTTGTATGCAGAAGAATTCCCTCCTATTTTTGATCTGGAAAAATCTCAGGTTAGTATTTTTTGTTGTGGATGCGTCATAGCAGAAATGTATGTCTATAGGCAGGGCAGTCCAATGATATGAAATCTCCTGGTTACCAAAGTGGCACATTCCAGACATTATACTGTGATACACATTTAGTAAGTGAGAACCATAAATGGACCCAGGAAGATACAGATCATGATTTTAAAAGAGCAAAAGTTCTATGAAAAATGACCCTTGACATCCATCCAAGGTAAAGACCTTGGTTTCTCTTGGCCTGGAGCAGCAGAGGAGGAGGAAGAAGCATCAGGAAGAGGAGGACAACCCTCCTGAAGCCGTAGCCTGCACTGTTACAAAGAAAACGATCACTCGCCCAATGAAACATGGATTCAAAAGATAGTCTAGCTCCTCCCCGAATCAGCAGCATGATTGTCCTCGTTTCCATTCATTAAAATGGCATGAATCCTTAGTAAATAGAAAATGAAAGGAGCATTGGCCTCTACGTGTCAAACTTCCTTCGAGATCAGGAAATAGTTTCTCGGTTAACTGTTTTATTCCAAAGCAGGCAAGCAAGGTATCTCCAACTCCTGTTTCTAAGCTACCCCGTCTGTCTCAGAAGTCAGCATGTATTCGTCAGCTGCCCTGTCACCTTCATCCTATCACAGATTTGTGGAGCCCAAGCTTTGATGAGTGGTCCAAACGCCATGCTGGGATGGGTGCACCACTGAAGCCATAACTCCTGTTGGAATAATGAGTGGCCTTTTCCCCTCAGGATGTCTGCTACCAAATGCAGTGCTTGAAAAGCTTACCGGTAGCGTTCCTGACAATGCTGAGTGCCTGTGATGCTTTGTGCTGAGCTGGAGAAGGATAGGCTGTCTGTCCGTAAAGACCGACAGCCCCAGAAAACCAACATAGGGTGGCTTCTAGGAGGTGAAATACACTCGGGGGCATTGGGTTTGTTTTTGTTTATTTAGTGACTCGTTCATTTTTAATAGCAACAGCTCTTGTTTTTCTCCCCAACAATCTCATTAACACAGCTGTTAGTCCCTCAGCAGGGACTAACTAGGTGCATTTACACTTCTTACAGCAACTTGTTTGGCATTTGAACTACATTGTCATCATCTAGGCAGCCAGTCAAAGGTACAATGAAGAGTGGCACACCAGCCCCTCCAAAATTCTGATTCTTGTATTAGTTCTTCCTCTTCTGAAAAGACAAGAGCATGGAATCAAAGGGGTTGAGTTTTACTTTCATTTTTTTCAAAGTGTCTGTGTTATCTACTAGATGTACAAACTTTATATAGAATTATAATCCTATCATTTAAAAATAAAAAGTTTATTTAATGAAATAGAGGGGGTTTACCATTACTTTTTTTTTTAATGTACATAATGTATGCCGAAGTTACCTAAGAAATGCTGGAAACATTGTTTAGAAGAATGCAATTTGATGTTTGTTTAGTATAAAAAGTTTATCCAGAATCCTTAGAAATACAGCTTTTACAAATCTGTTTTTTCATTAAGAATTTAATGTCTTTTCTCCATTTATAAAATTGGAATAAGAATAATGTTTATAGAGAAAAAGGAATGCTATAATGTTGATGGTTTTAAAACATTTTCTTTTTTTTAAAGAACTATAATATTGTAAAATTTTAGTTTGAAAAGTTCTGTGTAACTTAGATTTTTGTTTTTAGATCTTGCTATAAGGCTTTGATCCCACATCTGGTGATTAGAAGCCATTTTGATGAGGTCAAGTCCATTGCGAATCAGATTCAAGAGGACTGGAAAGTTCTTCTAACAGACTGCTTCCCAAAGGTTCTTGTGAATATCCTTCCATATTTTGCCTATGAGAGTACAGGAGACAGTGAGATGTCACAGCAACGAGAGACTGCTGTCAATGTGTATGACATGCTCAAAGATGAGAGCTTGTTAGGGAAACAGGTATGGCTTCCACTTTTATCTACTTTCTAACCCCTCGATCTAAAGTGTAAATTAAATTCAATAAAAATGAACAGAGTAGTCACCAGCCAGCAAAGCCAATCTATGTTTCAACTTTTGGGTTAGCTTTTAACTAAGTGGCAGTGTTCTTACCACATACCAAAAAAAAAAAACCTTTTCAATTATCTTAATTGTATTTGTCTTTTAAAAACTCATTTTAATTTCTTGTAATCCATTAATGTAAACTGGTTATTAAATTGAACACTAAACAGTATCTAAAGAATCTTCTTCAGTCACTTTCCAATCACACCAAGCCTTTCACCTTTTAAGTACCAACTTATCCTCAGAACAACCAAGTAGAAATCTGGACAGAGAACAGAAAAGGGATTATTGCTAGTCACTGGAAATTCCCATTAGTCAAGTTGTACAAGTAAACAGTTCCCAATCTTGTTGAAATTAAAAGTAGACTTTAAAGAGCTACATAGATCACTGGGCACTTTGGTTAGCAGAACTATTAATCAGGTTAAGAAATTTAATACTAGGCCTAAAACTCTAGTCAGTTAAAACAATTCTCTCAGTTGAAGGATCGAATAAGGGAACCTCATTTGGTACAATTTCCCTATTTGCCTCTCAGACTACAGGTTGAACTGCAATGAAAAAAAGGTGGAGTTATCTCTTAATGTCTTAAAGGTCTTGAATTTTTAGTACTGCATATCCTTATATAGTCACTGAATGGTTTTGGAAATAGAGCACTAAATCTCTTGAGCTATCTAATTAACAGACAGACATAAAAATATTAAATATGAAATGAATAATAAAATATTTAATTTTGTATCTTCACAGATTGATCATTTATTCATTAGTAATTTACCAGAGATTGTGTTCGAATTATTGATGACATTACATGAACCAGCAAAATCTGATGGCACCCAAAACACTGACCTCTGTGGCTTTTCAGGGTATGGACATTTTTAAACTTAGAGAATTAACTGCAACTTCAGAACTTGCTAAGGACATTTGTGTGTGTTTAGACATGTATTCTGTTTCTAATTTTATTTTTTTGCTTAAAATAACTACCCATCAAAAGGGGCAGGTGGGGGAATTACAGAAACCCAAATGAAGGCTGAACATGAGTGGAGACAAGAGGAAAGCAAAAGGAAATAGAGGAAGGAACTAGGAG